CCCTTGAGGTCCCTCCATGCTGTCTCAAAGGTTAAGATATCCTTCGTTTTCAATACTTTGCTTAGTATTACATGGTGTAAATGTACCACAGCTTTTTTTATCCACTCATCTACTGTTGGGCACTTGAGTTGTTTCCAGATCTTGGCTATTGTAAATAATGCTGTTATGAACATAGAGGTGCATACATTCTTTCTGATTGATGTTTCACGATCTCAGTATATATTCCTAGAAGTGGGATCACTGAGTCAAACAGCAATTCCATTTTTTAATGTTTTTGAGGAAACTCCATATTGTTTTCCATAGTGGCAGTACTGTCTGCATTCCCACAAGCAATGTACTAGCATTTCTTTTTCCTCCACATCCTCGCCAGCACTTATTGTTTGTTGATCTATTGATGATAGCCTGTCTGGTAGGTTGTTTTAGTTTGCATCTCTCTGACGATTAGTGACTTCGGGCATTTTTTCATGTCTATTGTCCATCTGTATGTCCTCTTTGAAGAAGTGTGTTTAGGACCTCTGCAATTTTTTAACTGGATTGTTTGTCTCTCTTTTGTTGAGTACTTTATATATTTGAAAATTAAACCTTTATCAGATATATCAGATATATCATTAGCATATATGCTCTCCTATACAGTGGGTTCCCTTTTCATTTTGACGCTGCTTTCTTTTGCTGTGCAGTAGCTTTTTAGTATGATGTAGTCCCATTTGTTTATTATTTCCTTTCTTTCTCTTGCTCTAGGTAATGTATTGGTGAAAATTCTGCTACATGAGATGTCTGATTATTTGCTGCCTACATTTTCTTGTAGGATTTTTATGGTTTCATGACTCACATTTAAGTCTTTTATCCATTTTGAGTTTATTCATGTGTGTTAAAGTATCTTCTATTGTGGCCTCTTTACTTCTATTGTGGAAAGTGTTTTCAAATATTACAAGACTAGAGGCCTGGTGCACAAAATTTGTGCACGGGGGCGGGGGAGGGTAGAACAGGAGAGATTGTCCCTCAGCCCAGCCTGCACCCCCAACTGCCCAAATCTGCTGGCCTGGTCCCCCTTAACTGCCCACAACTGCCCTCCCCTGCAAGGCATCTTTTGGTGGCCGTCTTGTGTCCACATGGGGACAGACAATTTTGATCGTCACATGGGGGTGGCCATCTTATATCTTGGAGTGACGGTCTATTTGCATATTATTATTTTATTAGATAGGATTAAATATTTTCTATTATTAATGTAAAGTTATTTTTTAAATGGTTCAATATGCTATGACAGAAATGTTTTATTTATACAACTGAAGGCCCAGTGCACAAAATTCCCTCAGCCTGGCCTGAACCCTCTCCAATCAGGGACCCCTCGAAGGATTTCTTACTGCCAGTTTACAGGGATCAGGCCTAAACAAGCAGTCAAACATCCCTCTTGCAATCTGGGACTACTGGCTCCTAACCGCTCACCTACCTGACTGCCTGCCAGGTTGCCCCTAACCATTCTGTCTGTCAGCCTGCTAGCCCCCAACTGCCTCCCTGCCAGCATGCTAACCCCCAACTGCCCCCCCCCTGCTGGCCTGCTCTCCCCACCTCCCCTCCCCACTGGCCTGCTCACCCCCAACCGCTCCCCTACTGGCCTCCTCTCTCCAAACTGGCCCCCCTGCTGTCCTGATCATCTCCAACAGACCCTCACTGACAGCCTGCTTGCCCCCAACTGGCCCCCCTGCTAGTCTGCTTACCCCCAATAGCCCTGTCCCCCACCAACCTGATTACCCACAACTGCTGTCCCATCCTGGCCTGATCACCCACAACTGCCCTCCTTTCTTGGCCTTTAACCACATCTAACTTGGCCCTCCCACTATGGCTTTGTCCAGAACAACATCCAGAAGGTCTCCTGGAAGGTTTCCTAGTCTAATTAGCATATTACCTTTTATTAGTATAGAGGTCTGGTGCACAGGTGGGGGCCAGCTGGTTTGCCCAAAAGGGTGTCCTGGATCACGGTGGGTGTTCCCTTGGGGCATGGGGTAGCCTGGGCGAGGGGCCTGTGGTGGTTTGTAGGTGGGGCCATGCCCCCATGGGGTGAGGGTTCCCACTGGGGGGGGAGGGGGCGCAGGCAGGGTGTGGCCAGCCTGGGTGAGGGGCTGAGGGCTATTTTCAAGCTGGCCATAGCCTCTTCAGGATGGGGGGGTGGGATCCAGCTAGAGTGCCTAGCCAGCCTGGGTGAGGGGTTGAGAAGCCTCACACACCCCAGTGATCCAGGCTCCCTCCCTCCCTCCCTCCCTCCCTCCCTCCCTCCCTCCTTCCCTCCTTCCCTCCTTCCCTCCCTCCTTCCTTCCTTCCTTCCTTCCTTCCTTCCTTCCTTCCTTCCTTCCTTCCTTCCTTCCTTCCTTCCTTCCTTCTTTTTTTTTCAGTGCCTCCTTGAGCGGAAGCCAGGGCTGGCTGGAAGCAGGTATCTGGGATTTATTTATCTTCTATAATTGAAACTTTGTAGCCTTGAGTGGAGGCCAGGGCTAGCCAGGGTGGGCAGGAAGCTTGGCTTCCTCCATCGCTGGGGGAAACCCAAGCCTCCTGCTCGCTCCAGCTCTGCGGCCACCACCATCTTTGTTGGTTAAATTGCATACTTGCTCCTGATTGGCTGGTGGGCGTAGCTGAGTGATGGTCAATTTGCATATTTCTCTTTTATTAGCATAGATATGATAACGTCTAAAGAAATTTCATTGACATAATTTCATTAAAATTTAAATTGACTTGTGTATACTTTCAATAAAATGTGTCAAACTAGTTTTTAGCCAGCATTAATACTTATTTCTGAATGTTAAAAAAACAACATACTAAAATACTCAGGAGAATGATGTACTTTGGTTAACACAGATTCTTATTTACAAAATTATATCCATCTTTACCTTATGGAAAAAAATAGTCAAGATAGTGAATGATGTTTAATAATAAAACACCAAAAGATGATAACTTTCCTATAAATAACTTCTGTGGAAAGTTTCAGACACCCACAAATGTCTATGCTGCTGAGAAGAGTTCAGGGTAAAAATAAATGGTTTGAAACTATAAATAAAACATAACTTCTTAACTAGCCCATTAAATCATTTTAAGCTCAAAATCATGACTGGCATAATAAGAGAAAAGTTAGTGGAAGAGTGGATTTCAATGGGGGAAAAAAACCTTAAGAAGGGTTAGCATTAAATCACTTATTTATCTGACCTTTCAGTAGATATGTAGCTATATATATGTATATATATTTGTATGGCAGACTGGGAATATTAGAGATTAATCTTGTTTTTAAAATAGAAAACTATTTCATTATAAAAAAAATTTAACTTCTCACTGCACACAATATACACTCAAAAAATAAATAAAGAGTGAAACTGGCATTTCATATTTGACCTACATATCAAATGACAACAAGAAAAGAAAGATTTGCTTTGCGTCCATTTCTGGAGGAATTTATTGTAAGAACATGAATATTTATTGGTAAATGCTTTGATACATTCTAATGTTCTCCTCTCCTAAAATCCTACTTAGTCCTCAACTAGAAAAATATTGAAAATTTGAAAGGAAAGTAAATATAAAGTACAATGGCACCATTAAATACATTTTAAGAAATAACATGTTATCACACAGTAACTCAAGCCTCTGAAAGTAATCATACATTTGTACACTTGAAACCTGTATAATTTTATTAACCAGTATTACCCAATAAATTTAATTCAAAAGAAAAATATAATCCAGTATTAATGAATAGTATTATGTTCTCCACTATGTAAAATCCCTACTTTAAAATCTAAACAGGAAACCAGCCATTCCTATTCACAATATTATTCAAAGAATCAAAAACCTTTAAATCTAGAAAGAAATTTAAACATCAACTCATTGAACCATCCCCAAATCAAATAAGGAGTCCATGATTAAAGGTCAAGTGCATAGTAAAGTCAACAGTAAATCCAAGTCTTGTGATAGAGAGGACAGTGCTTTTTACACTAACCTGGTTTTCTCATCACTGATTCCTGAAAAGGAAATTCTTTAACTCTTAACCGTCACTCTCTACATTTTTTGTATTACAAATGACTATCCTAGTTCTTCCCAAAGTATTTAAAATAAATTAAACATAGGTTACAGCAATGTAATAGCAAAACTACATACTTTAGTATTTTAAGTCAGCATTTTTCAATGCCAAACAATATAACTCATATAATTCAGTTTTCCTTCCACTTAAAGCCAATTTGCTTCTAGGGATAAGAGCCCTTAAATTTTATGCTTATCTATCTTCTCTTGGTTAGTTCTGAGAGAAACAAATGTTCATTAATCATTCAAAGTATGACCTTTTGGGGAAGGTATGTCTTAACCTCACCAATTTGTCAGGGAGTCTAGGAAACAGTGTTTAATTTTATTGTCAATTCTTTGATCCAATTTTTAATCTCTCAATTTAATATTTTAAAGTTTCATGGGGTTTTTATTGTTGTTTGCTCATTGCTGGGAGAACCTCTAACCTACTGACCTTTCATTGTGTAGAACATTACCTTAGTCCTATTTTCTCTTAACTGCCAACCAAGAAGTGTCATCCATTATATGTGTTTTGATATGCTTCTATGAGACAGGGCTATAGCATCCCTAATATAAACAGCTGATGACTACTAGAGCAAGTATGGAAGACAGTATGAAAAGCTAGTGCTATCTCTCAAAACAAATAAACAATACATGAAGAAAAATGGCCATGTATGGAGAATATTTAGTGAGGCATTCCAAGTTCTTCCAATGTTAGTAGAGTATTATAAGTAGTCTAGGTGTAGAAATTACACCAGGAATATTTTCTTCATTTTAGGAGATAAAGTATCAATTTATGATAGTTAATAGAAAATTAAACCTACTATGAAGGTACTAGATATTCTATATTCCAATGAATCTAAGTTAATCTTCATTTCTCTTAAAAAACCTGAGTTCGTATATGAAAGAACTTAATATTTGGCAAATTATCTTTACAGTTTTAATCAAGGGTTGATGAACACACTTACTCTAGATGAGTCATAAGAGGGGCTTGGTTGACCACTTGTTCCCCAAGATGGTGTACTTCCTCGTTCATCCATACCTATGAAGAGAAGAAAGTGAGAGATATAATCCAAAAGGGTACTATGATGGATGTTTCTTTGGTACAACAGAAGGTACAATTCAGCAAGTGACATATGTATTTTCCTGAAACTGGCTACGGTATATATCAATCTTTGTCTCAGAAATCAGTAGAAAATAAATTCTCTCAGAGCATCTTCATCAGTGCTTCATAAAATGCTCTATATATACTGCAGAATTTCCATACCAAAATATATCTTGGTAGACTTTCCACTAAGGTATAATTTGGGCCTCTCCATCTTTATCCCCATCCATTGCTACTTCTAAGAGTAGATAAACCCTCACAGGTTTCTACAGTTTAATACTGCCTCATGAAAGTATAAAGAATTCTGTTCTTAAGGATAAAACGTAGTAAATAAAGCAAGTTAAATAACTGTTCAAGTTAATAAAACTGGTTTCTATCAGAGCATTGATTAGATATTCTTAAATACAGCAAACTAAATCAAGCAGTATCAAATCAACGTTAGTTACATCAAAGCTAATCAAAATGACATGACAACTCAACCTAGAAAAAAATTTTCTAAATCTAAATCCAAATAAATATATCCACGCTTATAAGAAATGCACAGGAAAAGTCAAAGTGAGAAGAATTGGTAACCATTAACAACAAAACAATTCATTGTATTACTTAATGTACCTTCTGAAGCTTTGGTTCCATTATTTTCACCTTTTAATCAGTCCCCAGAAAAATTTGAGAGATGGAGATTTCTCAATCCAGCCATCTCTCCCTTTTCTGTTTTGAAGACCAGTCTTTTTCATCCTTGACACCTAACAGGGTATACTTTACCAACCCCTCTGAGCTTCTTTTTATGACAAAATGCAAAGAGTGGACTTTTTTTGTTTCATTCTCGCATGAGAAAACTCTAGATGTTAAAAAGAAACATCCCACTAATTTTAAAATCTCTTTTTCTTAAAAAAAAAAAAATCATTTTAAGTCTTCTGTAATTTAAATGAGAATGTGATGTGTAGTAAGTTAAATGCCCCAAATTCTCCAGTAACTGGCCAGCATTCCCAAAGCTCTTTTAGAGGAACTGAATTACCAACTGAAGGGTTCAGTGACAAAAAGCAGGGAAAAGTCAGCTTCCAAAGTAAAATCTACTAACTATTAATTAGAAGGACCTTAATTCTTTTGATGAATCTGAATTTCTTATATTAATTAATATATATATATATTTAAAGTTTTTAAAAACAGTAGAGAAATGATGGGTACCTAACTAAAGACCACACCCTAGGCACAATTTCAAGTGAAAACAAAGTTTTGAAAACACAGAGATTTATGCACAAAACTAGAAATGTTATGTTCATTCTTTGAGCATTATCAAAATTCTCATTTACCGTTCTATCTTACTGAAACATACTTTGTTACCATCTCTCTATGGGCTATTTTCCAAGCATTTTCTTCACAACCAACACTAGAACAGTAGATATGATTCCCAGGAGACCCGATTCAAGGCAAAGGCTAGCAGTAACCTACAAAATCTACTTATATAAAACTTTCTTTTTAAATATTTTCCATTTGCAATTATTTTTCTATATGAGGTAAAAAAAAAAAAAAATTTACTATACTAGAGGCCTGCATAAAATTCATGCACTGGGTGAGGGGAGTCCCTCAGCCCGGTCTGCACTCTCTTCAATCCAGGAACCCATGGGGGATGTCCAATTGCTGGTTTAGGCCCGATCCTGTAAACAGCCAGTCAGACATCCCTCTCCCAATCCGGGGCTGCTGGCTCCTAACCGCTCGCCTGCATGCCTGCCTGATCACCCCTAACTGCTCTACCCGGCTAGCCTGATTGCCTCTTAACTGTCCTTCCCTGCCAGCCTAATTACCTCCTAACTGCCTTCCCCTGCTGGCCTGATCTCCCCTAACCACCTCTGCTTCAGCCCCTGCCACTGTGGCTTTATCCAGAAGGACGTCCGGATGATGTCCAATCTAATTAGCATATTACTTTTATAGTATAGATGACCAACATAAAATATAAAGATAAATTGGCTACTGTGAAAGCAGGATCTCAAATATTTGTACCCCCTGTACAATATTCAAATTATCTATCAAATGGGTTAAACAAAATGTGGTATATACTTACAATGGAATATTATTCAGCCTTAAAAGAAAAAAAATTCTTACATATGTGAAAAATGGATGAACTTGAGAGCATTATGTTAAATAGGCCAATCACACAAGGACAAATACTGTATGATTCCTCTAATATGAGTCAAATTCAATGATAGAAAATAGAACGGTGGGACTAAAGTGGGAAACATCACACTTTCATTAAATATAACAACGGAAATTTATTTTGATGATCTCAGGCTAATGAAAATAATCAGACCATAATTTATTCAGTTTAGGATTGAATTGTTTTACCAGTATATCAAGTAATTAATAAACATGAGGCCTTTGTATTATTTCAAATACAATTCTAAATGAGAATATAGGAAAGATGGGTGCCTGCTACAGAAAACATCTGACAAATTTCAAAAGAGGTGCATGAAATTTTGTGAAAACACATACTCAATTTTCATCAAGTGACAATAATTACTTCCACAGCATGAAAGAAGAGCAAAGATTAATTAAATAAATGGTAATTAATTAGGCCACTGCTAAAGAAGGCTACATTCCAATAATACTGGACATTGCAGGGAGCCTCCAGGGTGCTGAAGAATAACAAGGGTCTGGCTATGTTTTTATACTCAGAGTTCTATAGTTTTATTGTTAACATATCCAGACTATGAATGGAAGGTCGTGGCTGGCACTGACAAAGGCAAGAGTCATCTTTAGGCATCAATGATTCCTTTCTGCTGAAGACAATGTCTGTATAAACATAAAAATATGATAGGAATAATAATCTTTCCAAAGCTTCAGCCATAAGATCAAAGCAAGCATAAAAAAAGAAATTACACACAGAAAATAAACTTAATACAGAAAGTATACATATAGATCAAAATCTGAAAAACTATCACAAGAAAATACATCATAGTTAAAACACAGTGATTACAATGCCAGGCCAATGTAGTTCAATGGTTGAACCTCTACCTAGGAACCAGGAGGTCATGGTTTCATTCCCGGTCAAGGCACATGCTCTGGTTGTGGGTTCCATCCCAGAATGGGGTGTGCAGGAGGCAGCCAATCAATGATTCTCTTTCATTATTGATGTTTCTATCTTTCTCTCCCTCTCCCTTCTTCTCTGAAGTCAATAAAAATATATTTTTTAAAAAATACAGTGATTACGAGAGAAAACATTTCTATTAAAATGCATCTAAACGGTCATTGCTCAATATTTTCATTCCTTCCCATTTCTAGTCTATCTATACCAATTTAAGTTTTAGAAAAGCAAGTTCCACAATTGACAAGATTAAAATGGTAGATGAAAGAGAAAGTTTACCAATAATTAAGTGGTAGAAACACTTTTATTCTTGCATAATATTCGACTATGTTAATCTGATTTATTCCATAAGTAAGATTAAGAGTTAATGATGAATCGGACCGGCAAACCTCAGAGGGAAGGAAGGGGAGGATGGGGGTAAAGGGGAGAGATCAAAAAACTTGTTGCCGAAACCAGTTTGGCTTAGTGGATAGAGCGTCAGCCTGCAGACTCAAGGGTCCCAGGTTCGATTCCGTCAAGGGCATGTACCTTGGTTGCGGGCACATCCCCAGTGGTGGGTGTGCAGGAAGCAGCTGACTGATGATTCTCTCTCATCGGTGTTTCTAACTCTCTATCCCTCTCCCTTCCTCTCTGTAAAAAAATCAATGAAATATATTTTTTTTAAAAAAAGACTTGTATGCATGCATATAAGCCTAACCAATGAACACAGACAACAGGGATGGGGGAGGGCATGAGTGAGGGAGGGGGAAAAGTTAAAGTGGGATAAGAAAACACATGTAATACATTAATCAATAAAGAAATTATAAAAAAATTTAAAAAGAACTGATGAATTAACTAATATAGAGATTAAAAGACTTTCCTTATTTAATCTTTTATGTATAGAATCTCTTAAGTGCCTGCTTTTCTGAATGGAACGAATTAGTCCATGTGTCCCATTTTAAAAGACATATAATACTATTCTTATTTATTTATTTATTTTCCAATTCTTTCTTTTTTTTAATATATTTTTTTAATAAATTTTTATTGTTCATATTATTACAAATGTCCCTCCTGCCCCCCCATTACTCTCCTCCACCAGGTTCCCACCCCACCCCCCACTGTCCTCATCCATAGGTGCACAGTTTATGTTCAGTCTCTTTCCACATCCCCCTCTACCCTTTTCCCCAAGAATCGTCAGTTCATTCCCCTTCCATACCTCTGATTCTATTATATTCAACAGTTAATATTGTTCATCAGATTTTTTTTTAAATTTCCTTGGTTTATAGATTCACTTGTTGATAGTTACGTATTTGTTGTTCATAATTTTTATCTTTATTTACTTTCTCTTCTGAAAGAACTCCCTTCAGCAATTCATATAATTTTGGTTTGGTGGTGATGAACTCCTTTAGCTTTTCTTTATTAGTGAAGTCTTTATCTGACCTTTGATTCTGAGTGATAGCTTTGCTGGATAGATTATCTTTGGCTGTAGGTTCTTACTATTCATCACCTTGAATATTTCTTGCTATTCCCGTCTGGCTTGCATGGTTTCTGTTGAGAAATCAGCCGACAATCGTATAGGTGCTCCTTTATAGGTAACTACCTGCTTTGCTCTTGCTGCTTTTAATATTCTTTGTCTTTTGCTCTTGGAATTTTAATTATGATGTGTCTTGGTGTGGTCCTCTTTGGATTCCTTTTGTTTGGAGTTCTGTGCGCTTCCTGGACTTGTAAGTCCAATTCTTTCACCAGGTGGGGGAAGTTTTCTGTCACTATTTCTTTCAGTATGTTTTCAATATCTTGCTCTCTCTCATCTTCTGGGACCCCCATAATTCTGATGTTGGTTCGCTTGAAGTTGTCCCAGAGGTTTCTTACATTATCTTCA